GGGAGCGACCTCACGGTCGACGTCAGATGTGCTCCCTATGACTGCGAGCAGCGTAGTCGCACAGTGTGTTCTCTGTGACTGTGGTTAGTGTGGTTTCAGGCTGCATAGCTTCAGACGTCGTGGCTTCTGGCGGTGTGGGATCCTTGTGTCCAGTCGGCCACGGGATGGAAACTGCATGTACCAGCGTCTTCTGACAAGAGAGAGCGGGTTTTGCTTAACGAATTGCCATGCCTCAGCTGTGGCTAGCACCCGTTTACGCGGGCCTTTAGAGTAGTGTGTTGGTGCCTGGTATATGACCTGAAAGGCCACTCTCGCGTCAACTTAGTGATTTGCATCGATTAAGTGTGCGAGGATTGAGCGTGAGATCGGTCGATTTTCATCTTTACCTAGCCAGGCTAGTATGTGTTCGCGTACCCTCTTCTCCAGACGTCTCGTTGTTCGGCCAATATATCCCGTTCCACAGGAGCAGGTGAACGAATAGTTTTAGGCTATTTTTCATGTCACTGTAGAGGTCTGGAGTGAATGACCGAAACAGCTGTTTGCCAATACGCTTTTTCAATCCAAATCTAAATGGGAATTTTTGCGGAACTATTACTATCGTTAATAATACTAATAATAGCACCTCCAATACCAATACCAACGTCACCATCGCAGTCATGGTCATAATTTTAGGTAGGGCTGCATGCTTGCCACAGTTATTTTCTTGGTTGCTTTTTTTCGAACTTTAATAGCTCACGACTTCGACCAACTATCAGCGCCTCCTAGGTACAGCATACCAGACGTTGCGTCTGGCAGCCAGTACCCACCCCTTACCGCTTTGTGCCGTAGACTTAATGTTTATCAGATTGGTTATGTACTCTCTTTCTAAGCCATAACCGAACAAAAATGCAGTCCGTCGCTTCAGGTGGGGGTCTGGGATGAGGGCAAGGGCTCCAAAGACGATGAGCTAGGATGGTGAGCCTGCAACAATAAGTGATAGTAGACTTGCACTGCATCTAACGCACTATCCGTTCCCTCACCTACCTGTGCCCGGTGTCAAGTCACATAAAGAAGACCGGAGGCGGGATCAGGCGCAGGTGGCTGGCGCGGCCGAAGTCGCTCCTATATGTGCCGTCACACCGGCCTTGGATCCCAGCTGCGTGGAGGTGCCATAACGGCCACACTGTGAAGAAGCTATTGCAGCCTGACTCTCAGGCTACCAGTCAGCCACTCAGCCACTCAGCCACAAAGCACAACACACACTGGGCTGATCGTACAGTCCGGGTTTCCCGTCAGTTGGAAATCTTTCAAGCCAAGCTTTTAGCGCACAATGGCAGCTTCAAGCGCAGGTCAGATTGTTTATGGCTAGGAAAGCAATGCGCTGAACCGTCGACCTCATTCTATCCGCCATCGCCCGAGCTCGTCAGTTGTCTGACGTGGGGC